AAGGGGGGGGGAAGTAATTGACTCTTTTCCCCCCCAAGCTCAAGAATCTTCCGAACGTCCTGTGCATGCGCAAGCTAAACCCATTTGTGTGCATTCAAAGAGGCCACTACAAAGAATTATGATTTGGTTTATGCTGAGCAAGAGGGTTTTAGCCATAGAATAATGTTCAAGTCAAATTCAGAAAATGAAGTAGCAAGAGAGATCATACTGAATATATATGTTGGTTACTGTATTATTCCAAAGAAATTAAAAAGAAAATCTATTCGTGCTATAGAATGTATCAAAGCCTTTGACTGTGTACAGTAAATCACAAAAACCCAGGATCATTCTAAAAATAGTTAACATTCAGATAACAAGCTACTGTTGCATTTATTTTACCTCCCTACGTGTTCAGTTTATGGTAAAGGTAAAGGTTCCCCTTGACAATTTTTGTCCAGTCGTGTTCGACTCTAGGGGGCGGTGCTCATCCCCGTTTCCAAGCCATAGAGCCAGCGTTTGTCCAAAGACAATCTTCCGTGGTCACATGGCCAGTGCGACTTAGACACGGAACGCTGTTACCTTCCCACCGAGGTGGTCCCTGTTTATCTACTTGCATTTGCATGCTTTCGAACTGCTAGGTTGGCGGGAGCTGGGACAAGCGATGGGCGCTCACTCTGTCGTGTAGATCCGATCTTATGACTGCTTGGTCTTCTGACCCTGCAGCACAGGCTTCTGCGGTTTAGCCCGCAGCGCCACCACGTCCCTTGTTCTGTTTAGCCACAGAATAATGGTTCAGTTTATGAGTAATGCATATTATAAGGAAAGTTGGATTATACTGAGATGAGGGAGGAGTGAAATTTGCAGAAGGAACATCAGTAATTTAAAATTTCAAAATGATACCAGATTACTAGCAGAAAATATTCACTAATTAGAATAACTACTGAGGAAATTTTAAAAAGTGAGCTCTGAAGTAGAATTGCAACTGAACATTAAGACAAGAATTGGGACTGAGAGACCACCAAAGGAAAGTTTTTCTAACTTGTGCCCCCCATCTGGTGGGCAATTACTGAGCAAAAAGCACCTTCACAGATAATTTGTCTTTCAGTATATGTTTAAATTTATAACTAGAAAAGGAAGCACATACACACAACTATTCCTTATGCTGAATGCTACTTGTTACATTTCTTCTTCCATGTATAATATGTGGCAGAGATTATGATAACATTCAGTTGAACCAAACACAAGAACCGTGTTCTAGACTGAACAATGAAGTGAACTGAAAGTAATCCACCACTACCATTATGGCAATGTAAGTTTCAAACAGATATGTTCTGTGCAAAACTATCCAAGCTGGCTACCTAGATTCTTAAATGTTTTAGAATATGAGTTCATGAAGGTATTATTATTTATGTACATCAAAATAATGAAACACCCTAATTCCTACTTTATACTATATAAGTTGATAAACAAATGTTTTATACATATATAGCAAGTAGAACATTGTTAGGATTATGTGTCCCAAAACTGCTCAGGCAGAGCATTTCACAGAATCACAGAATAACGGAGCTGGAAGGGGCCTATGAGGTCATTGAGCCGAACCATCTTCTCAATGCAAGAATCCAAATCAAAGCAGATCTTACAGATAGTTGTCAAATTTTCTCTTGAATGCCTCCAGTGTTGGAGCTCTCACCGCCTCCTGATGTAATTGGTTCCATTGTTGTATTGCTCTAACAGGTAAGAATTTTTTTTCCTGATATTCAGCCTTCCTATAACTTGTACCCGTTATTATGTACCCTGCACTCTGGGATGATCAAGAACAAATTTCATGACACAATAGTAAGTTCTATTATTTATTGATTCATTACATGAATTTATATCTGTCTCTATCTCAATAAATTCAATGACGCATCCTTGCAGCTTGCTTCTTCCTTGCCTCATCTTCAGAAAAGACCTGTGAAGGGAAGGGGAATTACTGTCCCATGATCACCTAGCAAGTTTCATGACTCAACGAGTTAATACTTTGGTCTTTAGTACACATTCTAACCATGAGTGGCTGGTGATAATTGTGACGGAAGACACTGACCAATGGTAGGGAAAAGTAAGGGGGACAAATGGGTGTATTCACAGAGAGAGCAACATATTCATACAAACAGAAGCAGGCAGGCAAGTAAACATTATTCACGTGTACTCAAATCCAGAGGATTTCCACCTCTAGGATAGCCAGAGGCTGAAGTGAGAAAGTATTCCACTTGCTCTAATAGATGAACTGCCTCTGATTCTTGCCATTGCAGCACAGACTAGTGGGGAATATAGATGGTCTCTGAGTGGTATGTTCCAGCACAAGTGCAGCAAGGGGGATATATGATCTATCACTCAATGTCTTGCTTTTTGCATACTGTTGTGAAACTCTTAAAACTTTATGGACCTCAACACCCCACATTCAGAACAGCTCTAATCACCACAGACTATTTACCTTGCCACAGTCCCTTAGAATAAAATCAAATTTTCAGCATTCATAGATAGCCATGAGGACATAAAATTAGACTATTTGTAGATCTACCTGGCAGTGATAGATTTTACTTTCTTGAGCTCCATGATCACTGCAGATGGTGACAGCAGCCACAAAATTAAAAGACACCTGCTTCTTGGGAGGAAAGCGATGATAAACCTAGACAACATCTTAAACAGCAGAGACATCACCTTGCCGACAAAGGTCTGCATAGTGAAAGCTATGGTTTTTCCAGTAGCAATGTATGGAAGTGAGAGCTGGACCATAAAGAAGGCTGACCACCAAACAATTGATGTTTTTTAATTGTGGTGCTGGAGGAGACTCTTGAGAGTCCCCTGGACTGAAAGGAAATCAGACCTATCCATTCTGAAGGAAATCAACCCTGAGTGCTCACTGGAAGGACAGATCCTGAAGCTGAGGCTCCAGTACTTTGGCCATCTCATGAGAAGAGAAGACTCCCTGGAAAAGACCCTGCTGTTAAGAAAGAGTGAAGGCAAGAAGGGAACATCAGAGGATGAGATGGCTGGACAGTGTCATCGAAGCTACCAACATGAATTTGACCCAACTCCAGGAGGCAGTGGAAGACAGGAGGGTCTGGCGTGCTCTGGGCCATGGGGTAACGAAGAGTTGGATATGATTTAATGACTAAACAACAAAACGTCTACCTGGATAACAAACAAAATTACTATTTTCTATTAAAGTGTAGAGCACTCTGATTTCTCAACATCTAATATGCAATTGACGGTGTTTGGTAGATCTAACAAAACCATCAAAAACATCTCTCTCTGTCCTAAGAGTGGTAAAAGTGACATGTAATTTAATGAAGAACTATACAAAATGCCGTCCAGGGTTATTTACAGACATAAAAGAAAGCAATACAGTGAAATCCAACATGAGTAGGAAGACAGGAAAACTGCTTTTCCTATATGCTATAGCTGTTGTTGCTGACCTATATGTGCCTGCATGTGTATAAAAATCTCACAGTATATACTTCTCTTAAAATATGTCCATCATAGGAACATTCCATGTTTCTCATCTGGCATATCTTTTAATACATACTGAATATGAACATCAGTAACAAAAAAATCAGCTCAATGTACAGTATTATGTCCATCTAAATATCTATGGCAGATCTATGTATTGTTACCAGGATATTTGTGAAGGTTGGATGCACTAAATTTCCTGATGTAGAACATGGTTTTAAACTGTAAATGCAGAAAAACACAGAACAATGCATGAAGAAAAAAAAATCATTTACAGGCAGACAATAAATTATATTACAAAAAATGTATAGTAGTCCAAAGTATTTGGCACCAACATTATATCAGCATCTGCATTAGAAGAATTTCCTCTGTAATTCAATTCCAGCTGGTTTCTGCTATCAGCAGATGCCTTTGCATCTTTTTGTGAGCTATGAAAGAACAAATAAGGACTAGTAGTTGAGATGAACCCCCTGGCATGTATGTTAATTACACCAGTTGTCAATCTTAGGATTTCACTTCAGTTTCAACTTTCTCTAAAGTGTTTCTGTTCATTTGTCTTTAATGTGCCTTCTATTCAAGGTCATACTTTTCTTTTGGGCAGCTGGAAATCTGGCAGAAGAAGAACTGAGCCATCAATGTGAAGGACCATGGATCATGGATCAAATAAAGAAAGCTTGTCTTCTGCCCTAGCCTTCACTGATGGTAGGAATACACAAACATTTCTTCAAAGAGCTGCGACTCCATTTTATAACTGAGCTAAAAAATAAATTCAGTCTAAGCAACCGGTGGTGTAGTTTGCAAGTTCCTCCAGATAAGGCAAAAAGTTGAAAGGTTATTTTATTAAAGAGTAGCCACTGGCCTGCTGCTTGAGTCAGGTTTCTGCACTGCAAAATCTCTAAAGTGAAAGACAAATCTGACAATATGCTAATCTGACAATAAAGAGTGACTTCTGAACCTTTATCTGTTGAGTAGCTGTCAGTGAAGTACTGAGACGGTTGTCTAACCAGACAAAACGGCAGTGAAAATATGCTTTCAAACAAGATCATAAATTGCAGATAGTGCAGAACCATAGAAAAAGGGATGTCTATGCTACTGATACCATGCCTTACTTTTCTCTGCTACTCCATTCCTCTCCTTCACATATGCATGAACGAAGATGTACTATGTCAAAGTTGTGTGTGTGTGTGTGTGTGTGTGTGTGAGAGTGAGAGAGAGAGAGAGAGAGAGAGAGAGAGAGAGAGAACCTCATGCACTGAGATCAGTTTCCATCACAGTGGATGGGCATGGGGGAGAAAGGCAATACAATATACTGTGACTCCAGCAGCATTTTGTACAGATACAAAAGTTAGCATATTGCACTGGGCGCTTGAAGATCATAAATCTATGCATGAAAAAGATGTAGTGGAAATTTTTTGGGGGGGATTAGAGTTTATTTTTGTCATCTCTGTGAGACAGCTACTCATTCATCCAGATCACAGCTAAGAAAAAAAGCTGGTCACAGAAATTAGCAGTTTCAGCTCAGCAGCAAAGTCGCCAGCCTGTGAAGGCAGAGAGAAATTGACTAATTAGCAATGCGCACTAAAACTTGACGGTTCTTTATAGAGAGAGAGAGAGAGGAGAGAGAAGAGAGAGGCAGAAGAGGGGAGGGGGGTCGCTTTCTCCCCTTCTTTCTTCCAAAGATGTTTGAAATCGCAGTCATTTACGCTCGACAATTTTTACAATAGCCTTGAGCCATAATTTTGCGAGTCTCTCCAGCATCCATCCCCCTGTATGGTCTCTCTCCACCGGCCATGCACGACCGTTTCTCTCCCCAACCGTGGATTTCCTATTACTCTCGTTACGACTCACTGAGCCCCAGGCCCAAGGATAATGATGTGTTGTTTCTTGGTAGCATAATTTGTCACACGTACATTTTTTCTTCTTCTTCTCTTGCAGAAAGCTCTGCGCGCGCTCTCCCTCTTTTTCTCTCTCCCCTTCTCCCTCTCGTACATTTTCTTGCTGTTGCTAATTCATGGTGATCAAATGATGTACGACAAAATAAATTGTAAAGAGTGACTGCCTGGAGTTGAGAACCAGAAGGTTTTTTTTTTTTTTGAAGGAGCGATCAAACCTTTAAAAAGGAAGGACAATTGATTTTTTGGGGGGGAGCTTAAGTGAACCTTTACTTTGGCAGCTGGTTGTGGAGCAGGTAAGTTTCTGGCCTTCGGTCTAACCGTCTTGAGTGTATTTTCTTGTGGCTTGTTTATTGTGGTGAAGATGGTGTGTGTGTGAGAGAGAGAGAGAGGGAGAGAGAGCGATTTCTGTGAGCTTGAAGTATGGGGGGGCACTTGTGTTACACACACGCCTTTGGAGAATAAACTCCAATTGCAAGAAATGGTCAAAGGAGGAAGAAAGAAGGGGAGGGCGAATGGGAGGTGTGTGTAAGGAGGGGGGAGGAATGACCGGGTCCACTTAAAGGGAGAGGCTCTTGGAGATTTCCTAAAGCCTCGCCGCTGCGAGGGAGGGAAAGTGGTCAGGGAAAGGGACCGCCATCCCACCCGGCCGGAGCAGGAAACGCGGATCGCAAGCGGTGTCGGAAAGAAGGGAAGCTACAATGGGAGTAGCAGCCCTCGATGCAATCCCGCAGAGAAGCAGGGACAGCGGCGGCAGCCTTGCTCGCTGCTACTGCTGTGCCAGGCTCGACTCTCCCGGAGGCGGGCTATGGCCGGCGCAGGTCCCCTTCCCCTCAGCAGAAGCAGGTGCAAACCGCAGGTTAAAGCTCGGCTTATGGCTCCCCTGCCCTCAAGAGTCCCGCTGACTTTGGCAGGGAAACCTCCGGCTCCGTTTCCGCACAGCGCGAGGACACTTTCCCGCCCGCGCCTGCCTCCTTTCTCCCCGTCGCTCGCGTGCCCTCCAAGCTCGCCCGCCTCCCCCTTGAACTTCCCAGAGTTGTTCGACTTAAAGCGCCGCCGCCTTCCGGCCGCACGAAGAGCAACCCACACAGCCGAAACCACAGACCAGACCACGGAGGCGACTCGGCCTGCCTCTGTCCCCTTCGGCCAGTGCAAGGCAGCTGGTGCCGTAGGAAAGGGGGGCAGGAGTTCGGTGCGCCCCGCTGCCCTGACTACAGACCCACCCAGTTAACGAGGACGGCCGCCCCCCCCCCCCAGCTCCGGGGCTTCACATACTGTTGTTTCGAGGCGAAGCGTCTCTCGCCTCTGCAGAGCCGGTGCTCTGCGAAGGCGGGAAAGGCGCCGTTTAAGGGGGAAGAGGAGGGGCATCCGAAGGGGGCAGTTCAGTCAGAGGCTCAAGTAGTGGTCCGGCCCTGGACTTTGGCAAAGACTGGGTGGGCGCTTTTTCAGCTGTAGGTCACTCGGGACTCGCTTCGCGGGGAGTTTTTGCAGCTTGCGAAACAAGGAGCCCGAACTCTCTCTTTCTCTTTCCTCCCCCCCCCCCGCCCGCCTGGTGAAAGCAGAACCCTTGCAAAGCTAAGGCAAACCACCGGCCTCCCCGCAAGTGAGGCGCACGCCTCCCTTCCCAGGCTGACAGAAAGTAGTTTGCTTGCGAGCCCACCCCACCTTGCCGCCGCCGCCGCCGCCTTTGGGAGGCGAAGCTGGCTTGCGAGGGGGACAAAGCTCCATGGCGGGGGCCACTGAGAGGTCTAAGGAGCCCAAAGGTTGCTGTGATGGCAGCGAGCAAGGGGGCGGCTGAGCAGGACGCCTCTCGGCTCTTGCGACAAGAATGAGCACACCAGGCCTATAAAGCTCCTTGTTTTGTTATTGTGCAAACCTTCCCCCCCCCCGTTCCCAACCACTCATTTTTCCTTCTCCCTCCCCCTTCCCCCGTTCCCGGCTTGCCCCCTCTTTGCCCAGGTCGGAGGTGGGTTTCCAGCCAGGTGTGTTGAGGCTGCTCGCCATGTCAAGGTCCGGAGACAGGACGTCTACCTTCGACCCGAGCCATAGCGACAACCTGCTTCACGGCCTCAACCTTCTGTGGAGGAAGCAGCTCTTCTGCGACGTGACCCTGACGGCCCAAGGCCAGCAGTTCCATTGCCACAAGGCCGTGCTGGCCTCGTGTTCGCAGTACTTCCGATCGCTCTTTTCCAGCACTGTAGGGGGAGGGGGAGGCGGCGGCGGCGGCGGAGGGGGGAGCGGGCACCATCACCACCCTCTGGGTGTCGGACCGGGCGCTCAGGACGCCCTTCCTCCCAAAGAGCAGCAGCAGCAACAGCAGCAGCAGCAACAGCAGCAGGAGGAGCCCGGCACGCCCTCCTCCTCCCCGGAGGACAAGCTGTTGGCCAGTCCTAGGGCCATCAACAATCTGGTGCTGCAAGGCTGCTCGTCCATCGGGCTCCGTCTGGTCCTCGAGTACCTGTACACGGCCAACGTGACCCTGTCCCTGGACACGGTAGAGGAAGTGTTGTCGGTCAGCAAGATCCTGCACATCCCGCAGGTAACCAAGCTGTGCGTGCAGTTCCTTAACGACCAGATCTCGGTGCAGAACTACAAGCAAGTGTGCAAGATCGCCGCCTTGCACGGCCTCGAAGAGACCAAGAAACTGGCCAACAAGTACCTTGTGGAGGACGTGCTGCTGCTGAACTTTGAAGAGATGCGCGCCCTCCTCGACTCTTTGCCTCCCCCGGTTGAGTCGGAGTTGGCGCTCTTCCAGATGTCCGTGCTGTGGCTGGAGCACGACCGCGAGACCCGCATGCAGTATGCCCCGGACCTCATGAAGCGCCTCCGCTTCGCCCTGATCCCGGCCCCAGAGCTCGTCGAGCGGGTCCAGTCGGTGGATTTCATGCGTACCGACCCCGTATGCCAGAAGCTGCTTTTGGACGCCATGAACTACCACCTGATGCCCTTCAGGCAGCACTGCAGGCAAAGCCTGGCCAGCAGGTAAGGAGCGGGCGGGGGGGCGGCGGGTGGATCCAGGCTGAAACCTGATACTTCGCAGCGGATTAGCTCCTGTTACAGAAGCAATGAGAGATTCAAAAAGTTGATTTAAGCACTACAGAGCTGCTAACAAAACAGGGGAAATGCCTGAGAGGGACTTGCGGAAGAGGTTTAAAGAGTATTGATTAAAACATCTTCCCATAGGTACTGAATGGGGGGGGGGGAGAAACCCAAAAACTAAAGCCTTGGAAGAAAAAAAAATCTAGCAATACAGGTATATAAACCATTGGTTACAAAGGAGCCGCCACAATGAGACACTGTTACATCACTCCCTTTGTAAAAAAAAAAAAAAGACTGTAATGGATCTGTAGAATATCCATGGGCATTTCTAGAAAGTTTGTAGAAACTCAGTCTTCTGCAGTGCTTGTGTCCTATTGTGATTGGGCTTTTGGTATCCTTAATGGAGTGCTGCTGTTGGTAGCAGGAAAAGTTTACACAGTTCTCTGACCACACCTACCACGATGTTAACAATTCTAAAGCCCACCTTCCTTTCTAGAAATGATCAAAGACGTTTTTGCTGCTACACATGATGATGATGCTTGAAGAAAGCAATGCTTTTTAAAAAAAAAACAAGATGTTTAATTACAGAATATTTTTTTATTTCTAGGCAGAGGGTGAAACTACAGAAACTGAAAAGAACAATGCTCTAGTAAAAAAAAAGTTAAGATGGAAAGAGAAAACAGTTCTGGTGTTCTTTAAGTTCCATATTGTTAGATGCTGTTCACCTTACAAAGATAGTTTCAGAGTACTGTGTACAGCAAGCATAACTGGTGAGAAGGGAAAGTGGAATGTGTTGGATAATTTAGTAGATGTCTTTTAAAATACAATATGGGAAGAAAATTGGATGGGCAAATAGCTATGGCTTAGTAGCATTAGTTTTAAATCCTATTATGAGCTCCCTGGGCCTCTTTCTACAGGGAGATGGTATCTTGCCAGCTTCTCATCTTTCTGCTGTGGAAGTTACCACAGTTCTGTATTACCTAACACTCTGTGCTTCCCATGATACTCCAAAGTAGTGTAAACATTAAGCTTTAACAACAAAAAGTGGAGCTTAGCATATTATTAGTCATTGTGTCTAACATTATTCCCTGTTCAGCATTTTACCATTGTTATAAAGTGATCCAAATGGTATAAGCTATTGAACTGCAATGTCTGAATGTGTATTTTTCTATGAAATTGTTTTATATGCGACCTAAAAATACAATGGCCACAAGGACAGAGTTAATGTACTGTTGTATAAGAAAAGCTGTGATGTCATACTATATTTGTGCTTATGACATCACACATGATTTTCTATGCATGAGTAGGTGAATTATAATGAAACAAAGTTAAAAGACAGATAATGAGATGTTCATGTCAGTGGGGCAAAATACGTAATCCAAATTTTTAAACTGTTGATTTAGGGAGTAAATTAAAAGACCAAATAAAATGCTTCATATTATGAATGCTTTTTGTGGAAAGTATTAATCAGCCATGTTATATGAAAGTATATAGTTGACTTATGACTTTTATTTCTCCTTTTACTATACTGAATTTACTGCAGATCTGCCATTTACAATGTTTTGAACAGGATGACGATCCTTATATAGTGCAAAAGAACTTACAAAACCTCTATATGGAATATGTGTCTTAAGGATCTAACTTTGTCTCTAAAGTTTCTCATTTTTCTTTGTACCTAGATCAGTTTTGTAAAATTTCCAAGTGCCCATCTTTTGTGTATGAGAAATATTAGAATGTAATGTAGTAGCTGCACTAAGAAATTTTAGGAACCCATCCAGCAAAATGTCTGACAAATGTCTCTAAGATAAAGCCTAAGATTTTACCTTTTCACATTGAGACTATAGTGCCTGAATTCTGCAGATCACCTGGGACATGATGAGTCTTGCATTGTGTTTGGCTGCCGAGAGACTCAGCGGTTTGGTTCAGTGCAGATACCTTCCAGCTTCATTGGTCCATGTCATTTGAAGGATATGTAGTGGTGTTCTGACCACTGAATGTTTACAGGTGTCAGAGATGCTGATATGTCTTGCTGGGAGCTGTCTTTTTCCTTTAAGCAAAAATTACAAAGAACAAACACAAAACTTACCTTGTCCTACAAGCAAAAAAACTATACTCATTTACGTTCACAACACATTCAAATCTAGATTTAGAACTGACACATTTTTTACACAGATAACATTCTCTGGCCATTTTCAAAGTATTAGCTTCCGTTGTTAAATTAAAACCTGGCTGCGAAACAATACTCATTTAACATGTACAGTATGTTTGGCTATATGTAGACATATTTAGGAAATAAAGAGGTGCTTTAAAAGAAATGAGAACATTATATGCTAGAGCTACATGAGAAGATCATATTTAAAGGCAATGGAAGAAAAGCAAATGGATCAACAGAAATTTATAAAAATAATGATTTTCAGCCATTATTATTGGTTTCCAAAGAATAATAGGAAAATTAAGATTACTTGAAATACTTTATAAAAATATTAATGGGGGCACTTATGAATGTGAGTTGTTTTTTAGGAGAGAACAATTTTCTGTTGGTTTTTGTTTGTGAGATAAACAGTTGAATGGTAGGAACATCTGCTTGGTGCTCTGTAATGGAGAAATATAAAATTACTTAACACACCTGCTCTTGAAGGCTGATTAACATCCTGCTGAAGACTCCCATTTACTTTAATAGGGGCTGTATCAGGCCCTTAGCATTATTTGATAGTGCCTTTCTTATTTACTTAAAATAACAGTTTTGTTCCTAATGTGATACTTAAAACTATAGCACACAGATGTTTTGGGATTTGCCCCAGTTGCAAACTTTAGACTAAAAAGGAAAGGGTAAATAGCCAAAAGCTTGAGTTATAATTCTGAGCTCTCTGTGTGGAAATTGGAACTTTACATATGTTCTGAATCACAGTCCTGAATTACAATAATACTCTAATTGCCAACTGAAATCCAAAGCACTTATGTGACTCTATAATCATTTTATTTGGAGTGCAGACTGTTATCAAAATTTCTTACATTTCAAATACTGTAGCTATGTACCTAGTAGTAATGTATCAGTCCCAAAGGTTCATTTTTATGTGAAATAAAACATCATCCCTGATACCTGCAAAATGTGACATTTAAAAATCCAGACAACAACAATCCTAGTATTTTGCAAACAAATTTCTCTTAAGAAGAAATTGAATGATTTCCAGCCCAGTATTTGATATGTTGATTCAGAAGTAAGGCTCGCTGAGATTAGCGGAACTTAATAAGAAGAAGACTTAAGAATGAGTTGTAGTTTTAGATCCTTTGTAAATGTCTGAACATTGTTGGTCTCTAGTCTAGTTCAGGGTTTAGTCAGATCCATAACTTTTAAGGTATGTGAATAATAGTTATATTCATTTTGTTTTTCCTTCTTAAAATGTTGTGGTAGAAGCTTTCCTTGACCACTTGGACTTCTCTGATGTGAATGGGTGTGAGACTTGCTGTTCATTTTGCTGTTAGTAAGGCTAGTATTGTACTATAGTCCAAAACTAGAGTAGGCCTGTTAATCTAGTGAGATTTACATAAGTGTGGACTTACCATTGAGCAGTTGATTTATTAGGTCTCCTCATAACTGGGACTAACGAAACGTTACTGACATTTATGTTTTCTCTAAAATTCCCAATGTAAAAATGCTGAGATAGATACATGGAGCTACATATATAGAAACCATAGTGTGTGTATATTTACTGGAGTTAATACTGAAGCATTGATGTAAGCTTTTCACTTTACTTAACTGTCAACCAGTTGTCAGTGACTTGGAAGGAAAATGCATCTTTTTACTATGTCTTAACAGTTTTCTTGATTATTGATGTTAAAGAAAGACCATTTTGGTTATTGTAGGTTTTTCGGGTTTTTGGCTGTGTTCTGAAGCTTTTTTTTCCCAAATGTTTCACCAGTCTCTGTGGCTGGCATCTGACCAGAACACAGAGTTCCAACTCCTGTCCTCTGAAGATGCCAGCCCCGGAGACTGGCAAAACATTAGGAAGAAAAAGCTTCAGAACACAGACAGTCAAACAGCCTGAAAAACCTACAACAACCATCGGATCTCAGCCGTGAAAGCCTTCAAGAATACAAAGACCACTTTCTTTATTCCCTTTTTTATTCCATAGTCCCCAGTGTGATATACAGTAAGTCAAAATAAGAAGAGTCAGGAATAGTCAACTGGAGTAATAAAGGAGAGATCCCTCTATGTCAGGCCTCTCCCCGCCCTGCTTCTCATAAACAGAGATACATGCATTGTGTCCCATTACCATGATAGCATGTATGAGAAACTGGGTATGTGGAAATTGGTGGAGTTTTTTGTTTTGTTTTGTTTGTTTGTTTGTTTTTTGGTGTATCTAACCTTGGGTTGTCCAGAAGGCCATAACACACAGGGTCTCTTTATGGTTTGTCTATTTTTGGAACCCATTGGCATTTGTCTAGGTGGACAGAATTCTTTCACCTCTTATACCAGGATATTCAGAGTGATTATGCAAGGGCAACCCAGTAGGAATATAGTTTACAAGGTTTCCTCAAATATTATT